CGCGGTGTCGAGTCCCTCGTTGTGAGGCGGACGGAGCGCATGGAGCTGCCAATCCAATGAGATGCGTAGGTACTCATTCGACATCATATTTGTGAATGCTGTTCGCATTCACAATGTGGTTCATCGTGTAAAAAAGCAGGCACGCAAAGTTTGACTCGAACTCCACCAGTAAGTGGTCGATCGTGCATCGATCGAACTCGAGCACGTTTCATGATGACCGAACTGAGGTCGAATTTGGATGGCAAGACGAGGTGAAAGAAACAAAGGACGATCGGATGAGGGAAGAGGGGGTGTTTGTGTGTGGGGGGGGATGCGTGTGGGGAAGGGGGGAAACGAACGTTCAGAGAAGTCTTGAAAGGATCCAGGATTTTGAATTGAATAGGTGAAAGCAGCGAGAAGCTGAAGAGGTGATCTGGAGTGCAGGAGTGGAGTTCGCGGCCACGTGGAGCGATTGAGAGGATGGCAAGCTGGTCGCTTCGGGCAGATGGGAGAAGAGACATTCATTATTGCTGAGCGCTTACCCGCCGCACTGATCCGGATGATCCACGCCTCCATTGCCGTGCGAGATGGCGCTAACGGTTCCTTCGGCCAAGGCTCCACCGTCCGAAGAAGCGTAGATATTGTAGCATGCATCGACCTGCTGATTGTCTTGCATGTAGTGGACAATCTTGGCGGCATTATCATCTGCGCTAGCCTGATCGTAAACATTCGCAGCCACGTTCTCATCCACGTGGTAGAAGAGTTCTAGCTCGTCAGTCTTGCCCGGGTCCCCATCCTCTTGCCCGTCTTGTCGTCGGGAATAGTGGAGCTGGTTGGAGAGCGGCGCTCGTAAGCGCATCCATTTGGCGGAATGACGAGTGACTTTGATGTGCACGTTCTTGTGCGTGTCAAGCACGCTGTGCGTCTCTCCTATATTGACGAGCTTGTTGGAGAAGCCGTCAAAGAGAGTGCCGTTGGAATGAAACGTGATGAAGCGAGATGTGGCCGCCTCGCGCCTATTGTTGGTGATCGGCAGCACTTGGTTGCTGTTGCCCGTCTGAGCGCCATTCTTGCCGAAAGCCAGAATAAGCAGAGAAGAGACGGTAGCAATGGCACAGTTGATGGGGTTGGCTACGGCGCAGACGAAAACGATGGCAAGGGTCGCCCGAGTGGCTGGATTGACGTTGATTGACCAGCTGGCCGCGGACACGATCCCAACAAAGCAGAGGCACATACATGCTACCCTGCTACCCCGGGCGCTCTTGGCTACGAGGCTGTTGGCCAACATATCGACGACGCGCTGCTTTTTCGATCAGAAGAATGAGAGGGAGAGAGATGAGAAAGCAGACGAAGTTGAAGCAAAGTGTCTCGGTTGATTCCCAGGGTCGTTTGAGAGTCCAGGAAGGTAGCTGAGGCATGTCAGAGCTGAATGTTTGCTGCCAAACAGAGGACGAGGAGCGCATGATGACCCTCGCTATTTATAGATAGACGGGCGCTACGCTACAGCAGCATTTACGATTGTATCGTTCTTTGCACAGCTGGGCGCGTCTCGAGCCTTGCAAGTGCTCTCGTTTGGCACGCCTAGACTCTGACGCGAGAGGAGACCTCTAGGATCAGGTAGTCGATCAGCGAGCAACATGCAGAAAGAGGCAAATAGACGATGAACAGCCTTGCTTCCGGCAGTGGAGCAGTGAGACGTCGAGACTCCAGAGAGAATAACTGGATGAGAGGGTAAGAGAAAACGAAAGGCCGTCGATCAAGTCTTGCGGCGGTTAGGTCTGCTTGGCTTGGCTAGTATCGGCTCATAGGGTGCGCAGCGAAGCCGGCAGATGGTGGAGGGTAGCATAACCTCGAGGTCGTCATGCAAAAGGCAAAATGATCCGGCTCGTCATTCATCATTCACTTGCCCTCCTATCCTGGCTGGCACATGGCGCGAAAATGTGAACAAAGGCGGAGGGAGGCCTAGCGTACAAATGTTGCCGGCCGAGCACTGCTTGTTTAGGCACGTACCTCGAGGTCTTCTCCATCTATGGACGGCACCGCCTACTGAAGCTATCTGGTTGGTCCGCGCCTGGGCACGTCTGGGTGATTTGATCAGATGCCATGTGGTCTGATGAACTCGAATCCAACTGAAGACTAACGACTGCCGTGCCGTGCTTTCGCGTGCCTTTCACTGTCACTTGAGCTTCAGCTTCTTGACACGGAGATGATGGTATTTGATTGCTAGGATGTGACAGTCAGAAGAGTCTCGAGTATCATCTGTTTGCTATCGGTGTCCGTCACTTGCCGTGACTCACGTGACTGCTGAACCCGAATCAGAGAATTTTGAATTTTGAATAGAAGCGCCAGGCGCAGTCCCAATTCAGGTTTGAAGCGATACCGGATAACAATTGAAAATCAGCCTCACCAATCAGCACCAAGCGAGCAAGTCCTTGCGCGCGCGACGATCGAGTAGTGAATCACAGAATCACAATCACAATCAAGAATAATCGTGAATAAACAAGACCATTCACGAGTGGTGAGTAGCCGGTACGTATGCAGTAGGTACCTTGTACCTATGCGATCGTGATGCAAATCGTTTTTGCATAGCAAAGGCACAAAGCTTTTCTGGGCTGATCATCGCACTCGTGACTCAATCTCGCACTCAACTCACGTCGACAAATTCGACTGCGATTGCTGTCACAAAGCTGCTCTTCGCTCTGGATCAGTAGCTTCTCTGCTCCTATCGGTCCAGGCTGGCTGTCTGGCTGGCTGCATTCACAGCAGCGCTTTCCCTTCGACGCTTTGACGCATGCAAACGACGCGCTCAGCTCCATCTTGCGCTCTTCTCTCCCGCTTTTCCCACCAGACTTGCTCGCTGCTGCCTCCTCCTTTTGCTCGCGTCATTGCCAGATCCTACACTACGCATCGCTGCTCCTCACGACCATCAAAACCCCTGCATCTTGTGCCTCCGTCGACTGGTTGCAGCGCGATCTTGATTGGTAGTGTAGGACTCATGTGCAGCAGCGCGTCCGTAGAGTCGCATCAGACCAAGAAGCAGAAAATGTCGGATGCCGATGCTGAGAGCATCGGTATCGTGACTCATAATGGCACGCATCACGGTGAGCCATTCAGATGAGAGCCTCTCCCTTTCCATTCGTGCAAGCGCAGCCAATCGTCTGGCTTTTCCCCTTCTTCTGACACTCTTCTTCGCCATACTCCACAATTTTCGCGCACCTCGCACCTCGCAGCCGACGAAGCTCTCGCTGTAGCTCTTCTTCGATCGTTGCCGCAATTTTCATCCTTGCCGCTCACGCGCACCAGAGATGCCAGCTTCATCGACAAGGGCACCATAGTGGTGGATGTTGGAGCTACGTACGAGCCGGAAAGACAGAGGTTCGATCATCATCAGAGAGGTTTCGAACATACCTTTGAGAATGGTTTCAACACCAAATTGAGCAGCGCTGGTTTGGTTTGGAAGTGAGTGTCGCAGAGATCTTCGTGATGCTGCGCTAGGTTTGCTCGTTGACGAATCAGAGCCTTTCTTGTGGGTGGTACATCAGACACTACGGCAAGGCTATTCTCTCACAAAAGCTCTTTGAAGACGTTGATTCGGATCTTGTCGATCTTCTGTGGAAGAAGCTGTACGAAGATTTCGTCGAAGCAATCGACGGCATCGACAATGGCATCGCGCAATATTCTGGTCAAGCGCTGTACAAATCTAGCACTGATCTCTCGAGCAGGGTGGGACGTCTGAATCCGCGTTGGAACGAGGTACTGCCGAGCGATGCGGCGCAGAAGCAAAAGGAAGAGGATCAGAGGTTCGAGAAAGCTTCCGCTTTAGCTGGCGGAGAGTTTTGGGATACGCTAGAAGGACTTAGACTGGCTTGGTTACCTGCTAGAGAAATTGTGCTTCGTGCCGTAGAGGGTAGGAAAGGCGTCGAGGGGGCAGACTCGCGAGGGAGAATCCTGGTGTTTGATGAGTACGCAAGTTGGAAAGTGAGTCGTGGACAAGGGGGCAAATTTCGGTTTGTCTAGGCCGGCATCGGCGACGTTCGTGGTTCAGACGCGTATCTCATCCCTGTTCCTGGAATGTTCCATCGCAGGACCACTTGCACAAGTTGGAAGCTCATCTCAACATCCCAGAAGCCGAGAGACCTTTGTACGTCATCTACCCCGACAGCTCTAGCAGCTGGAGAATTCAAGCTGTGCCCGTCACGCCCACCTCTTTCGAGAGTCGCAAAGCTTTGCCGGAAAAATGGAGGGGAGTCAGGGATGACCAGCTGGACGGATTGCTCGGATTCGAGCAGGACCTCAAAGGCGCCATCTTTGTTCACGCAAGCGGTTTCATTGGAGGTGAGCAGACGGTTCGGCTCGGTTTCATCTTGCGTCTCGCCTTTTCAAGTCGCGTGCGTCATTCAATTGTCTTGTTCTCCTCACCACGCTTTCGCACCCTCGATGCACGCGCAGGCCACAAGACGCGCCAGGGGGCACTTGCTATGGCCAGAGCAGCTCTGGACTTGTGAGGTCGGCCATGGCTACAGCATGCGCAGTCCAATCGCATCTGGCGACGATGGGACAGTTGAATTCCAGAACTGAAATCAGGGTAGGGAGTGTTGGTATATTCGGTGATGTCCAAGAGAAAGAAGAGCACAAAACTTCGATCGAGTGTAACAAAAGAGGCGGCGTGTACAGGGCGCCGCTTGGCAAAGGAAGTAAGCGCTGGCTTGAAGAAAAAGGAGAAAGTCGTATGCGAAAGGACAAGAAAGGCACAAACATGAAGAGGAAATCTGATAAACGAATGTGATGCGCTCCTTTGGAGCGAACGTCTGCGCACCTCGTCGATGAACAATAGCGTGCAGACAATGTAGCGAGGTATATTGGAAGCGATTGTCGTTCCCTAAAGGACGACCGCGTAGTGTCGAGATAGAAAAGAGGAAGGACGCTGTTCGATCGAGCCTAACGGCCGACGCACAGATTTACCGCCATTGCACCGCGGGAGCCGAAGCCGTGGTCTTTGCGAATCTGGGATTGACGTGTTCGATGTACTCTCCGCGCTGAATTCCAGGCGGCTCGACAAACCTGCTGGTGTTTCCCGCGGATGGGGCAGCAACCTGAGCAGACTTGTCTTTGCTCTTCTTGACCGAGAGCTTGCTCTTGGCAGGCGTTGCAGGCGGAGAGGTATCCTTGCTGATGGGCTTAGGGGCTGCCTGGTCGTCCTTGTTGAGATGGGTGAGCGAAGCCCAACCCAGCTTATTGCCGAACGCTGAGAGGCCCGAAGCACGTTGGGCATCATCGGTAGACGCAGCAGAGAGTTGCGACTTCGACGAGCGCTTGGATGCCTTCTTGTCAGCTTGAACCTTTGCAAGTAGCTCAGGAGGCACCTGTGCATCCAAGGCGCAGCCATCGGCGGATGACGCAGCCACTTGACTGCTTTGGCGATTTGATTTGACATCCTTTGTCACGGGGGCCGGCTGCGAGACTGCCTCAGGCTGCGCGACCGTGTTCAGCACCTTGGAAGCTGCTTTCTTGTCTTCAGCAGGTCGAGGTTTGCCAATTTGGCTCTTGTCTACGCCTGCTTCTCCTGCGTTGGAAAGGGGGACGTTGTCACCCAGGCGGGTCTTGAACAGCATGCTTGCCCAACCTTGCCTCTTGGAAGCACCCGAAGTGTCTGAAGCGTCCTGCACGTGCTGACTTTGACTTGCAACCGCCGCGCTTGGCTTCAATGACTCGACTAAGGGCTCATCGGCTCCAGTTTGGCCGTCTTCCACTGCCTTGCCTTTGCCCTTGTCTTTCTTCGTGCCGCTGTAAGCTGCTAGCCCAGCCGCGCCTCCAACCGCGATAGCTCCAGCTCCCAGGGCTTCTTCGTCATCATTTCGGGACTGCTGGCCTCCATTTGGAGTCTCGGGCGTTACAGAAGTCTCTGCGCTCCTGACCTGAGAAGGCTCTGCTCTGCCAGCATTGACGACTGCTGCAGCGGCTGCCTCCGAATCAGCTTTCGTTTTGGCGTCCGCTACTTCCTGAGCTTGAGCTTCTCGGGCCTTCTGCTCCTCGAGCTCGTTCTTGCGCTGGAGTTCAGAGGCTTTCTTGGCCTCTTTGGCATCCTTTTCGAGCTGCTTCTTGCGTTTCTTCTCCTCAGCGGCGGCGGCCGCAGCAGCTTCTTTCGCTTTCTTCTTCTCCTCCTTGGCTCGCTTCTTGTCGGCAGCTTCTTTGTCTTTTCGGGCTTTCTCATCTTCTTTGCGCTTCTTTTCCTCCGCAGCGCGCAAAGCCTCGGCTCGTTTCTGGGCCTCGGCTTCTTCTTTTTTGTGCTGTTCTTCCGCTGCCTTCCTCTGCTTTTCTAGCTCGGCGGTGGCAGCGGCAGCAGATGCAGCTGCTGCTGCCGCAGCTAGCTCCTCTTCTTTCCGTTTCCTCGCCGCGGCTTCATCGGCTTCACGCTGCTGTTCAGCAGCGGCAGACTCCTCCTCCTTTCTCTGTCTTTCGGCGGCAGCCTTTTCTTCCTGTCGCTGCTTTTCGGCTGCTTCCTCTGCTTCACGCTGCTTTGCTGCAGCAGCGACCTCTTCTTCTTTGCGCTGCCTCTGCGCGGCCTCCTCCGCCTCGCGAGCCTTAGCAGCGGCGGCCTCCTCCTCTGCCTTACGCTTCTCCTCGGCCAGAGCTGCAGCTTTGTCTTGCTCATCTCGAAGCCGCTGCTTCTCTTCTTTTTCAGCAAGCATTTGCCTCTGCCGAGCTGCAAGCTCAGCTGCTTCCTTCTCTTGGGTTTCACGTTCCTTGCGCTTGGCTTCTTCAGCCTTGCGCTGAGCGATCGCTGCCGCCGCTGCACGCTGCTCCAACTCGTGTATCTCTTTTGCGCGCTCAGCAGCGTCTTGCTCCTCCTTTTGACGTGCTGCGATCAGCTCAGCGAGCGCACCGCCTCCAGCCGCCGCAGCAGCTGCTTTTTGCGCGTCTCTGGCTTTCTCGTTCTTCTCGCGCGCTTCTTGCTCTCGTTGTGCTCTTTCTTGCTCTGCTCTAGCTTCAGCCTCCGAGTCTTCTTTGTGCTTCGCAACAAGCGCCGCAAGCGCGTCCGCGCCCTTCGAAGCAGCTTCCTCATGCTCGCGCTGTTTCCGCTCCGACAATTCGGCGCGCTCACGCTCGTGGCGCTTGACGATCTCGTCGAGAGCTTCAGCAGCGGCAGCAACAGCTTCATCATCATGCTTTCGCTCCTTCTCAGTGTCGTGCTTCACCTTGCTAGCCAGCTTTGCCAAAGCATCCCCACCAGCCAATGCAGCAGCCGACTCTGCTTTTTGCTTCTCCTCAGCCGCTTTCGCTTCCTTTTCGGCTTCCTGTTCACTGTTGTGTTTGACCTGCAAGGCCAGATGCTCCAGGGCAGCACCTCCAGCAGCGGCAGCGGCAGCCTTGTCAGCTTCCTCCTTGGCGCGCAGCTCGGCTTCCGCCTTATCATGGTCCCTTGCATGTTTTTCGTCGCGTTCGGCTTGGGCCGCCTTGGCAGCCTCCTGTTGCTCGTGCTCTTCGACAAGCTCATGAAGAGTAGCCGAGCCAGCAGCAGCTGCTGCCGCAGTCTGCGCTGCTGCTTTAGAGGCCTTCTTGCTCTCCGATCGCTTCAACTTCGAGTTTCTGCGTTCAAGCTCCTTTGACTCTCTGGCCTGCTGTTCCGCAGCTTCCCGCTCTTGTCGCTGTCGCAGTCTGTCAGCCTCTGCTGCCTCTTCAGCACGTTGCTGATCAGTCTTGAGCTTCTCAGCACGCGCTTGGGTCTCTGCAGCAGCTTGCTGCGCGGCGAGGAGGCGCTGATTAGCAAGAGCCTGCGTCTCTTCAGCAGCCTTGCGCTGCGCTTCCCTCTTCAAACGCTTCTGCTCTTCCTTTTCGGCTTTCTCAGCAGCTTTGCGTGCCTTTTTGTCCTGTTTCGTCGATGCCTTGTCGCTAGTGACGGATTTGGCAATGTTGGCAGTGCCCACTCCCGAAGCGCCGGTGATAGCCGCATCTGCAGCAAGAGCTTGAGGAGCTGTTGGGCCGCTCTGTGCAGTGCTTTCTGCGGACGCATCTACGACTTGAGTGGATCCCTTGCCTGCGATGCTAGAGACTGGGGGTGCCGCGAGCACAGCCGGGGCTGTCGACGGCTCTGGCGCCGGCTCTGCATCTCCATTGGAAAGCGCAGAAAGGATCTCTGCATCCAAGGTTTCGCCCCCTCCAATGGGCGGGGCGGCGAGAATGGGAGGCGCATTCACAGGCTCAATTGGAGAGCGGTTGTTTTGGGAAAGGGCAGGCTCGCTCGCGCTCGCAGTGGCCTTCTCGGTGCTGCTCTTCTTTGGCGAGAACCAAGTCCTGGGTATTGCGGCAGGCACAGTCGAGGAAGGTGGGGCATGAGCAAGTGGTGCTACATCATCTTGCGATTCGCTGCTTTCTTGGCCACCTCGCGCGTCAAACTGCGGAGTGAGTGGTGTTTGCGGGCGATACCAATGGAAGGGGCTAGGTGCGCGCCCTGGGAACGGCGTCTCGATGCGAGGGGGGAGGTCACCCTCATCCTCGTCTCCGATGGTGTAAGCAGTAGCACCCTCAGCGCCTTCAGAGTCGTACAGATCTCTGCGAGACTTGTTGAATCTGCTGCCACCGAACTCTGCATATTCGTCGTCGTCAAATTCCGAGCCGTCCCATAATTCCCCCGCAATGCCAGTGTCGCGTGCAACTCGCTCGCCCGCTCCAGTGACACCAAAAGAATGTCCGATAGAGGCGAGGACGACGTCAGAGTCGGCAGTCGGAGCATCCAGAATCTTGAGCTCCGCAGGGGAGAACCATCGCGGCACCAAGTAGTAGCGGAAAGGAATCAGTAAAATGATGATTACGGGGAACCCGATGGCGGCAACGGTCTGACTAATGGCGAATGTCATGGCGAAGAATAGCCACTGAATAGCGACGAACAGGAAGATTTTAGACTTGCGGACTTTCAGGAGGGGATCCTTGGGATCCGCCATAGCGTCATCTCTGAGAAGTGCCAGTGTTCGGGTGGTGATGATGTTATCCTCTATCGATGCCCATCCCACCAGAATGAAGATGCCGGCAAAGACGGCGCGCGGCATCGTTCCCAGAGCCACAAGGAGTGGACGTGTAGCTGTTCCGACTGTGAGCAAGCCCACTATCAAGTGTGAGACGCGCTGCTCGACGACGCGCGTATTCACAATCGTGGCAGGGGCTCGGCGCTGCCTTGAGGTGGCTTTAGGGTCCTTCTCCTCATTCTCAGTGGCAGCATCGGGATCTACTTGCTTGTAGACGGAGAGCGAGTCGGTGTGCCATGGGCATTGTGGCACAAGACCATTTGGTGCTGGCAAACCAAGAAAGCCAGAGACGAGGGTGGTGACACCGAGAAGGAAGAAGTCCCAATGAAAACCTGCTGGTCGTTTGAGAGGAAATTGTCTGCCTTGTGCCATAATGGAGGATACGTTGTGATCGAACCAGAAAAGAAGGAAGATGCCAAATCCAAAGCCGGCTCCCACAAACACCCACCGCAGCTCAATGTTCCAGAAGTCGATGAACCAAGATCTGTTCAGCGTCGGGAAGAAGCTCTTGGTGATTGGCAGACGCTCAAGTGGAACGCGTCTGAGACTGTTCTCTGGGAAGTGAGTAAATCCTGTCCAGACCAAGCAGCCGGCAGCGAAAGCGAAAGCGCCGACAAAAGAGCGAAGCTTGAAGGGCAGGGCAGAGGTGTTGGCCACCTTGCTGACGAGGTAGACAGAGATCACGAACAGCATGGCCACCACGACGCTCAGCCAGCCAGTCGCGTTGTCGAGCGGAGCTGGCTCGAATTCCAAAATCAAGATCTCAATCCCCTTCTGAATGTACACGATTCCGACGTAGCTATAGGTCGCAAAAGGCAGACACGATGAGCAGAGAGTTCAACACTCTTGCTTTGTGAGTGTTGAACTTGATAGTGACTTACAATCCAAAAGTAGCCGAGGTCATGTCGGTGATGAAGCGCGAGAAGTCGCACAGGTTAAACAAAGCGGCAATGAAGTGGAACCCAGCCCTGCGATCGTGAAGATGAAGTTTGAGTGTTTGAGGACCGCGTGGGTACAGACACGGCCGCCCACTCACGCCCAAATGAATGCCCAAGCCTGCACTCGCAGGTAGTCTAGCTGACTAAGACCATAGTGGTCAACGACAATGGTGTATCTGCGGAGAGCGCGCCTATCAGTATGGATTTCGCGGGCTGACGAGCCATCAAGCTGCGACTTACTGTGTATAGCACACCAAATTTGTGAGACCAGTGAAGCCTACAATGGTCAGTGGCTGAGCTGAAAAGATCGAGAATACGACGAGAGGCAAGGCAGTGACAATGATGACTTCGTTGATACCGTAAGCGCCATTGGTGCGGTGGGTGAGGTCGAGGAGATAGGCTATCGCAGGCATCAAGCTAGAAGGGGCATGGAGAGCAGAGATCAGGGTCAGTGAAGCTGGACCTCGGATGCTGCCGTGGCGACTAGCACCATACGTCATCCAGGTCACTTAATTTCCTGACCAGCACTTATTTTGCGACCAGAGCCGGGCGGATGTACGCGCGTGTATGCACTCACTTGATGAAATACAGCCTCGGTATGCTTTGGAGGATGGTCCACCAATTCTTGGGAAGGAAAGCCGAGGTCCAGTCCGAAGCGTAGAAGGGCAGCCTACGCCTCACATCGTAGTACATCCCTCTGAATGGCATGAATTCATACAGCCAAGACCTCTCGCCCCACGCCCTGTCACCAGGAAAGCAGGGGAAAGAGGATTGCACCCCAGCATGATCCGCGAGATGTTCTTTGGGCGATTGTCGAGGTCTTCCTCCCTGGGCAGCAGCTGAAGCGCTGGAATTGCCATCCAATGGTTTCAGGTTGTATGCTTTCTTTCCATTTTGTGCGGAAGCTGCTACTTCTGAGTCAGAGTGGCCCGCAGTCCTAGAATCGTTCGGCGAGTCTCCACGACCCAACGAGCTGCTTCCCACTAGGCCTTGCACAGCGGCGCGTTGTCGAAGGGTGGCCTCATTTTGACCTGGCGAGGAATGCGGAGAAGGGTCGGCGGCGGGCGCCTCCAGGTCTGCAGGTGCCGACATCCTCCTGGCCCCTACGGTACCTATTCTGACAATTTCAGAGGGCGAGGTGAAGCTGCAGAGCGAGAAGAGCGTGAACGAATGGCAAAAGGAAGGATGTGGACAGGGGAGAGGGCAAGGAACCACGCTGTTGTCGGAACAATGGCCCGGGGCGCAGTCATGTGTGATGCGTGGTCGTGAGTTCACCGATCGACGATTGTGATCGAGTCCATCCGCAAAGCCCGGCGTAGTGACCTCGACGAAGCTGGCGCGAGACCCACGCAGCACACAGCACGCGCGCGTAACTCCGCTCTGGTGAGGTGAGCCGAGCGACGCTGTTCTGCCAGGCTTTGCGGGTAAGGGCAACGCCGGCAGCTAAGCAGTCGCGAGTTGTAAGGCGCGTCAATAGTCAAGCGCGTCGATCATGCCGCACAAGAGGAAGGTCGTCATGCAGGGTTCACCCGAAAGCGGCGTGCGCACCCACAAAGCAATTATCCACGATCGAAGCTCACGAGTACGGTACTCTTAGCTGTGGGGTGGACCTTCCTTACAGAAGCCCCTACATGCAGCATCGCATTCAAGCGGCATTATGTACAATCTTGAATGTTCTCAAAGCGTTCCTCCATGCACGAAGATGTCAACACAAAGCTCCTCTATGCAGCTGTGCAGCAAACTGCATGCTCACCTAAACGTCGCGACTTTCTTGTGACCCCTCCACACGCTCGGCTATCCCAAAACCTCCAATCGCACATGCGATGACGGCAAGCGAGGGTAGCCCTTCTTCTGAACACATCGCCCTTAGGCCCTGGCTAAGCATCAAGGCGGGAGCGGTGCAAGGCGACAGATCATACGTCAGTATCTGCTGATCGGTAAAGAAGCATGGCATTCAAGGGGACCAGAGGAGTAACGAGGAGCAGCTCCCAGCACGCTGGACGGATCTTAGTGGCTCATGAAGTATAGTCATGAGCATTATGGGTCGCGCTCGAGGCTCTGCTGCTGGATAAAGCGTTCGTGAGAGCTTGGGTGCGGGGATCGCTGTCTGATGCGCCATTAGCGCTAGCATGAGATGTTGACATTGAGCTAGCTCTGCTGGTCGCGTATGCAGGCAATCTTGATCCTCCTAGGCCTCCAATAGCGTTGGTAGACATGCCTGAGCTCGCACTTGGACCGCCGTTGGTAGGCGAGCCTAGCTGAGAGCTATAGACTGGATTACTGCCAGAGGTGGGCAGCAAGCCGAAGCCTGACGCTGGAGCACCACCTGCACTCATCTCAGCCGCTCCCAAGCCTGCGGCTTGACCCTGTTGAGCAGCCATCAGGGCAGCAACCATCTCGGGCGACATTTGCTGTTGAGCACCTGCTTGCTGCAATTGCTGCGCTTGTTGCGCTTGTTGCGCTTCCTGCTGCTGCTGCTGCTGCTGCATTTGCTGCTGCATTTGCTGCGGCGTCAGCTTCTTGCCACTAGGATTGCTTGGGGACTTGGTACTGCACTTGGCCTTGCCTTGGCCTGGGACCTCGCCCTGTTGACAAGGTGTCTTCCTGGAGCCAGGTACGATGTGGTCCCATTTCAGCGCGGTGCCCACCGCACCAGTGAGATCTAGAGGTTGCGTCTCTTTTCCATTGGGCCCCTTGACGAAAGCGACGCAGGAGACGCCTACCATCTTTGAACCAGCCTCTACCGCGTAGATGGTGTAGGGTGCAATGAGCTTGGAGGCCAGCTTCTTATGTCTCTTCATGCACGCCATGGCCCAAGCTTTGTGCGCGTTGACCGGATCATTCATCTCAGACATCTTTGCATAGGACCATACTATGTCAGGCAGTTGCAGCGGCAAGATGTGAGCTATCGGGAAAGGACGAAGCTGGTCACTTGATGCAAGCATCTCGCAGCTCACCTTGAGGCTCTGGATCCTGGAAAAGTAGCGATTGCACCTGCGACTGCATCTGCGCGTCTGATTGAGCGTCTGCCTGAGGTCCTGATGCTGGGCCCGATGCTGAGCTTGCTTGTGCTTGCGCGAACGCTTGGGCGTGCGCATGAGCGCTCGCTTGAGGCTGAGGGAAGGGAGCCCCAACAGCCGCATCAACTAGGATGCAAAGCAAGGCCATGAAGTAGGCGAGTAGGCGCATGTTGGAAGAGTGAGGGGCTGTGAAAATTCTTGGCGCGCGTTCCCGAAGTCGTTCCAAAGTGGTGTGAGTGGGAGGGGATGACGAAGCGACAAGGAGGGTTGTTGGTGGGTGGAGACGGACTTGATTTTCAAACCTTTGTAAGGCAGACGTCCTGTTGAGAGAGAGACGAGCGCAGCTCGCGTATCAGCGACGAAGAGTCCTCAAGGGGCTCGTAGCTGTGGCCTTCCTGAGGCGGAGAGGATGGACCAATTACGGCTCCGAATCCTGCAAATGAGCGGAGTTGCGCTAGGCTGAGGTGGGGGACTTGCCTGGCAAGCCTTCTAGGCTGCTCGAGTACGTGGGGCTGTTTGGAGTGATTGTGAGCCGGGAGATCATGCACAGCATGGGGGGAGATCTTCAGGAGTCCTCGACATGCCATCTGCAGCCTCTACTTATACCTTCTAAAGAAAGACGCAAGATTTTGGTTGCTTGTTGGAGTCAGTTCAGGCAGGGGTATCTGCGCAGTACCCGCTGCCAAAGTATGGCCGCAGCTTGTAATGCGACGCCTTTGCGCGACTGCTCCGATCAAGGCGCCCACTGGACTCTTAGATTCTGGACCTGTTCCTGTACTTCAAACCTCACCGAAGTCTGCGTCGGAGAGGTTCTCATTTGCGCACCATGGGCCAACTGGCCGTTCTCGATCCATACCTCACTGCTCTTAGGTGTTGCGCCCAAACGAGTGTGTCTCTGCATTTGAAGCTAGAAATGAGTTTCGACGACGTCGGTGCCTAGCACAGTCGTGGCCTTCTCCCACGGAGCCATGTATTGAAGTCTGCCATACACTACAAGCCCAGGTGTCTATGCGCTGTCGAACAGTCACGCAATTGGCCGTCGACGCTTCGCTCTTATTTTCGCCGCCTCTTTTGTGCGAACTCTTCCGCACCGGGGGGTAGATGGATGTCCTTGACTCCAGAGCTCTCAAACACATCCTCCACCATCTTCCTGCCCTTTCTCATCAGATAGTCTATAGCCGCGAAGTCTCGGCGCTTAACGCCTCCGCCTTGGCTCGGCGCCCTAAAGGCGTGGCGCAGGTAGGTGACGAAGTGAGGCTGCGCGGGCTGAAGAGGGGAGACGAGGTAGGCATCGAAGTGGATAAGGTGCAGTCAGCGGTCCTTGAATTGCGCGTGGAAGGTCTCCGGTCAGTTCTAGCTGCTGCGCGCACCAGTGTTTCCTCGATGCCGTTTGACGCCAGCATTCCATGAGTTTGCAGATGTCGAGCACCGTGACTCACCTGTGGTTTGCCCCTGATAGCTCGCAGCCCTCTGCGATACAGCGCTAAGACGTCTCTTTGTGACTGCGTGTACTTTGGCATCTTGGGACACGGCTGCTCCTGCTTCTTGGCCAAGTCTCCACTAGCGAACGGTACCCTGCCGGTGGCTTTTGGCGCAGCGTACTTTCGTTCTCGATGTGCCTCCAGCCTAAGCCGCGTGTACTCGGCAGACCCCTTGCGCACGCTTTTCAGCACGTCTTAGCTACAGTGCTGTCCCTTCGCTACGCTCTGTACCGGACCGTCCACGATTGTAGCAGGATGCGTCGATCCTTTGACTGCGTCGCTCGAGCTTCACCCCTGAAGGCCCCGCCTTATTGTACTTCTCCACCTCGGCGAAAAAGCGGCTTCTCGCCGAAGTGCGCCCCGACGTCCGATCCGTACTGCAGTAGGCTACCGCGATCCGCGCATATCACTCGCAAACGTTGGGCAGAGCCGCGGGTAGCTCTGGGGTTTGCAAGAAAAGGTCTGGGTACAGTATGAAGGGATTGTGAGATCGAGGTAGTGACGAAGCATCATGCAGCGCTACGCTCACTCACCAACAATTTTGACCTTCGTAGAACAGGAATAAGTCACGAGTCGTGAGTGGAGGCGTGCTGTGTGCTTACGAACGGCTAGCTGCGCAAGTGCGACCACGTGATTGCCCGCCGCGCGCGTCTGGAGCTTCGCTGCAAAGCTGCACGACGATGACGGATGTCGTGACATTCAGGATGATTCTTGATTTTTATTTCAAGATTTCATCTTATTCCAGCCCCGCTCCTCCCATCTCTGCAGTTGGCAGCCACCTAGCCTCCACGACACGGCTCGCCATAGTTGATTACATCGAGCGAAGGGAGACTGCTCAGCAGCGCTAGGGCGTCTCCAGACACCTTCCCTGCGGCGCATCAACGGGGACAAAAATGTCACAACGATCTAGCCAAGGTCCTTTTACGCAAGGCCCGCCAGAGGTGATCATGATCGACGATTCGGATGACGAAGAGCTTCCACCAGTATCTAGCATCGTTAGCACCTCGCGCAATACCTTGAGTGGTCAGACGAAGCAAGAAGCAGTTTTGATCACTTCCGAAGAATCTGATTCTGCGCAAGCCGAAGAGATCTCTGGCAGCGTGGAAGCGTTCCCGCAAGAAGCGCCAGCTGCGGGGCAGCCACAAGCAACGCTGCACGCCCAAAGACAGATCGTCACAAATGCTGCCAACGCAGGCGAAGATGTGGAAATGGAAGACGCTGCGCAAGGTCCCTCATCCCGCTTGGCCACACCACCACCTCCACAAGCGATCGACTCCGCACCTGGAGAGCAGGTGGAAAGTGCAGCGGAGCCTCGCAGCGTTGCGATATCCACCGCACTCGCAGGTCCTGGTATCAGGCTAGCAGATGTGCTCAAGAGCCCTGCACTGCCAGAGCGTAGTCTTTCCTCGGTCTCGCCCGGCCGATCGCAGACCCACTCTCACGCTGGCCCCTCAGTGCTCATGGATGGCAGTCGGCCACGCGCCATGGGGAGCGTCCAAGGAGAGGTACCCTATGAAGAGGCGCTGCAGGCTGCGGCTCGCGCTACTGCGGCTCAGCGGACAGCAGACCCAGCCCAATCGGTGCGGCCTGTCGCAAACACTGTCATCTCGAGCACAGTGCAGAGATTCGATCGCGACTCGACATCAGAGGCCTCTGCCTCGCCAGTCAGAGCACTAGCAGAGCCGGCCACCACTTCAGCATCAAGCGAGATTGCCGACGCGAAGGGGCCCGCTGATCCGTCTGAGGCGAAGGCTTCAGATGCCCATGTAATCACTTCAGAACCCCAGAGAACGCCAGCATGGCATCCCCAGGGAGTTCTCTACCCTGAAAGTAGAAGCATTTCGACTCCTCAGGAGCTGATCGACCTCGTTGCTGATCCAGATCCTTCTCTAGACCTTACCGCAGTGGCGGAACTTGCACGAGGTCTTCCAGCCGGGCCAGGTGGGGTAGGCATGTCGGCCTCCATAGATCTCGCAGAAAGCGGCGAATTGCTGTTACGGACATTGCAGGCTTCGAATCTTCAGCTGGCTGCTGCTCAAGTCTTGCAGTACGCCCCTTCCGTACAACCAAGACATGGACTTCCCGCTCATGCTGATGTGCTGAGAACAGGACTGGTCTACTCTCCTGCCATGATGCTGCACTGCCCGCCGCAAAACATGGACGAGGATCCAGAAGTGTACGATCGGCATCCTGAACAACCCAAACGAATCTCTGAAATTTATCAGAAATTGGTTGCGCATGGTTGTGCAATGAGAATGAAGAAGATCAATATTCGCGAGGTCAAGAAAGAGGAGACCATGCTAGTACACGAGGAAGGCGTTTGGGATGGCGTCGAAATTACTGCATGTGAGTGAGAGCAGTGGCTAGCACGCATGATGTTGAGAACGGCAGACTGACCTCATGGCTCTCTCGCGTCTTTGTGTCAGTCCATACTCTGGATGTGCTGGGCCTGATCTCGCAGCAACTTGAGGCGTCTTCATCCCTATACATCAACCAGCACAGCGCCAAGTGTGCACGGCTAAGTGCTGGGGGCGTAATTGAGATGGTCGATGCTGTGGTCTCGGGTACCATCAGGAATGGCTTTGCAATCGTCAGGCCTCCGGGCCATCATGCAGAGCCCTCGAAGAGCATGGGCTTCTGTTTCTACAATAACGTGGCTATTGCGACAAAGTGGGTCATGGAGAAGTATAGGAATGCGCCCAAGCCCGTGAAAAGGGTTCTCATCCTGGATTGGTGAGTGCAGCATCGTGAGCTAAAGCGGAGAACCGCGATTTTGTGCTGAGGAAATGTGGCGCAACGTCCACCAGGGACGTGCATCACGGAAACGGTACACAAGACGCCTTCTGGTCAGATCCCAACGTGCTCTACATATCCGTACATCGACACGAAGACGGCAAATTCTTCCCTGGAGGAGAAGATGGCGGCATGGACAAGGTGGGAGGGGGCGCGGGCTGCGGCTTCAACGTCAACATCCCTTGGCCAGCCGCGGGCATGGGTGATGGAGAGTACATTGCGGCATTTCAACACATCGTCATGCCCATCGCGTATGAGTTCAACCCGGACCTTGTCATCATCAGTGCAGGCTTCGACGCCGCTTATGGGGACCCGCTTGGAGAATGTTTAGTCCTGCCTGCCGCCTATGCCCACATGACGTACATGCTCAGTGGACTGGCCGAAGGGAGGTGTGTGGCTGCGCTCGAAGGCGGATACAATCTGGAGGCTATCGCCAACTCTGCTCTGAAGGTGACCGAGACGCTGCTCGGCGATCCGGCTCCAATGCCGGCTAATCTCACTTGCAACGCGCTTGCCTCGGCGACCATCAGACAGGTAAAGAGGGCCCAATCGAGGTATTGGAAGAGCATCCATTGGGACGACAACGATCCTGCAGCCTACGACGATGCTGGCTTGCCAGCCTACTCTCTCTCTGATGTCTTGCGATCGCATCGAGAGGCGGAGCTGCTCAGTACGTTGCCTCTTGCCCTCATTCCGATGGGTGCCTTGGAGGCACCCATCGTGGACGAGACAGGAGTAGTGAGAGGCAAAGCTCGCAACGTCATGACTCTTCCGCAGAGTAAGGAGGATGATGATGAAAGGCAGTATGATTATCGAGGGAGTGTAATATGCAGTGCCGATCTACTTGACCGTACGCCGCCGCGCAAGGTGAGTTGCAGCGATTGCAACAAAGTTGTTCACGAACTTGACAAGGAGACACCCCGGGATGCCTAGACGATCTTGCTTTTCGCTCATAGCCTTGGCGATGTGCGTATCGAGCGCCCGGGACTCGACATTTACGCTGAAAAGGAAGCAGCGCACCTTGTCGATGCCAGCCGCAGCATCTTGGAGTGGGCTCTGGCACGAGACATTGGCATTCTGGATGTCAGTGTGCCTTCTCTATCAGCATCGAACGAGCATGCTGTGGACGTAGTCGCATCTGGAGAGGCTCTATCCCGCCTTCAGAAGGTGCAATCGGCCGCCGACAAGTTGCTGCTGTACATCTGGGACAATTACCTCTCGCTTGTGCTGGGAGCCAAGACCGACGTCATCTTGATCGGGCATGGCTCCGCATGCGAAGCCATCATGACTCTCTTAAAGAATCGCGAACCGACCCAATTCACCAATCAAGTCAAAGCAGTCGTACATGTCCTCGCGCACAGCACCATACCGGTTCTGCCAAAGGATAGGCCCGAGCTGAGAGCGTGGTACGGCCGGGTCTCTAGAGTGTTCCTGCCCCACGATCACGCACTCTTTGCGGTTGGGGCGCAAGAGCGTTTCGGGCGAAGGCTTGGTAACATCGAACGTGCTCGTGAGTCTGAAACGCGTGCCTTGCTGCTCTCACTTCAATGAGCGTCGGCTGATGAGTCGTGGGTTCACATTGCCCCATCGAAGCTGCTGCGGCCCCTGGTACGAGGGAGCGTCCGATTGACCTGCTCCATCGCGCAGCTCCAGACATTCTGCAATTCATCGAAAACCAACTTGCGGCCCCTATCCTCAACGGCTCTGCAGGGCTGCAACCAAAGAAGACATCCAGCGCTGCACCTCTCGCATCGCCGCGAGATTCTTTGCACCCTGGTGGTATGCCCAACGGCTCGGCTCCGATGGTTCCTGATTCAGACGACGTGGTGTTCGTGAGCTCAGCACAGTCATAATTTGGGTCCGCCTTGCATCGCTTGGCAGATTGTCGATCCCGAGGTTCAGTGCGCCTTGCCGCTGTTCAATACACGTCGTTTCTCGATCTCTGTCACGTCCTTTTGTCAATAGATGAAGGCTTCGCCATTATCGTGAGGAAAGGAACGAAGGTGCCTGGTTGCTCCAACATCACCAGCTCCGTACCCAGTGCTCACTCAACGGCGCTCGATGCTCGCGCTTTCGAACGTGCCTCGCAGCCTCAGTCAAGGTTCTCGAAGACAGGCCATCGGCCGCTTGCTTCCTTGCGGAGCGTGCTAAAATCAGGAGAATCAGTCGCGCACGAAGGTCTGATCAGTGCCGCTCGACAAGCCGCAAGCTAGCGCAGGCTTTACAGACTCGACACTCACGCAGCTGCGATGTACGATGCGCACGTCAAGGCGACGTCGGCGATCGCTGTCGTCTCCTTTTCGGCATCGTCCGGATCTGTGGAAATAGATGCATAGATGCTGAGCTTTGCGTACGCTTCTCTCTTCGAGGGGCGTACAGGCTCACAAAGGTAGATGTGCGTCATGTACCGCTGTTTGCCTGCCTTTTCGTATTTGATGGTTCGCACTGGGTTGGCAAGAAAAGATTCAAGGGGGTTAGGAGACCAATCAAGAGGTCAAACCTCGATGTTGCTGCCAACGCCGCCTCTTGGACTCACCTTCAGCGCAGCACAGCGTCGATTGGGCTCTGGTGACGTGGTACAGCTCCATGTTGTGCGTACTATCGTGGGTCAACCACATGTACCTTTTGCCATCCGGCGCAGTGAAGAAGATCCTCTTGTGCGTCTGCCTTTTCAATCCATAATCCATTCGGCACTTGCTATTGGGATGCACGACACGAGCGGCCAGTGCTCAGAGCAGAAAGAAGAAAGTTAGGGTTGCAAACACTCACTAGCCTTGCAGACCCCATTGGGGCAGGCCTGTCAGAAGCCAATCGTCGTACGTGTCTCTGATCGGGTGCGCTTCGTACACTGGCACGCCGGAACGCGGGGCTAGCATCAGCTTCGAGCCTCTCGACAGTCATTTGTCCCCCTCTTCGCTCACCAAAAGGTCCGTGACTACCAATTCCGATTGTGAGCGCACCGACATGCTTGCCTTTGTAGTTGAAGAATCCCGGCACCTGCGATCTGGCGCGGAAGACGACGACACTTCTTTTTTGTTCTGCCTGTGGATGCATGGGAAGGTCTGCAAGGCCAGTGGATCGGGCAGAGCCTTTCACATCCTCGTCAACTCGTTGTTGCTCTTGGGTCTGCTGAGGCTTTGCCGCATTACGCCGCTCTTGCTCGTCGTCCTCCTTCCTAGCCGTCGACTGTGGCAGCTCGCTTTCAGCCTCCATCTCGACCGTACGCTCTACTGCAACTTGTTCCACAGGCTGATCAAGATCTGCATTGGCATTGAGGTCGTCAGCAGCGCTCTTGCCCACTTCGTACTGGTCATCGATGAAGAGCAGTTCTTGGAAATCGCTAGAGAGTTCAATCCTCAACGCCAAGCTGGGACTAGTCTTCAGCGTCTCCAAATGCACCTTGGTCGCTGCTTCCGAGGTTTTGGGCGCGCTAGCGAGAGCTGAAATGACGGACAAGATGTCGGACGCTTTGCAGATGGAAGAGGAAGGCGTGTGAGTTCTTGATTTATCCTGCTGTGCTCGATGTGCAGGTACCGAGCCTATCTTGGGAACAGATCTGCTACGAGGTGGATCATTACGCTCTGCTGCTGCTGTTGCTGCTGCTGCTGATTCAGCTCCCTCGTCGCTCGATAGTGACTGAGGCAGGTCGCTGTCTTGCTCTGCGCCCGACTTTGCTTCCCCCAGGTCGTTGGCGCCGAGGTGTGGGTCGCGTGCGACAGCGTCTTCCTTCCTCTCCGCACTCAGATCGATGCGGGGCTCCGAGTCGGCCATTTCAAAGCGAAAATGTATCGCTGGTCAATCGCTACTTGACGAGCGAAAGGCCAAATGTAGCAGAAACAGTGTTGAGCCCTTGAATTCTGGTCAACTTCTGGCTGCTATGCAGTCCGAAGCTTGCTGACGCTGATGAGATCGGCGAACGGTGAACGACGACAACAAAGCTGGCATTTAGGATGGTGTCGTCGAACATCGGAAAAGAAGCATCAGGATAAAGCCTAAGCCCTGGGAGCCTCTATACTCTTCTTGCGTCTAGTACTTCGCGCCCAATCTACTCGGCGGAGTGAAAGGGCGATATGAAGTCCGCCGAAAATGAACCTGGGTACGTATACCCTACTGAGGGCCGTTAGCACGGATTGGCGTAGCATATGGATGCTTCATAATGAAGTCTACCCCAAAATGAGTGTGCCAGACGAGAGTCGCATCGCGAGGAAAGGCCAGTTCAGGAAGACCAACAGAGTCCCAAATACTTGGCGGTAGTAAAGCCTCATCGGCAGCCACGAATGGGTGAGGATAAAAGTGTCAGCAGGAAGAAGAAAAAGCAGAGAAAGGGAAAGGGAAAGAAGAATTGTGGTCTCGACGAGTAAAATCAAAAGGAAAGGCAAGAGGAATTAGATCTACTTCTTTCGATTACTCTGCTCTCACCTCTAGTCTACGATTCTCCACGCTCATCCTACCTCGTCCCAAGGATCGCAAAGCAAGGCAAAAAGAACAAAAAGTAGTCATGCGCTCCGCTCAACCTCATGAGATAGGTGTGGCGCTAGTGTCCCGATTCTTCAGGTGAAGGCCTCCGCGTCTGGCCTGAGTAGCGAGAACGCTCGAAACATGCCGTCGAAACAGGCGTGGGCGCGTGCACCGAGGTGCCACGTTGCACACTTCCGACTAGCTGGCCACTCGCGCTCTGCATTCCAATGGCTTAGCGCAAGGCCGAAATGAACACTTGACCCGCAAGTACGGACCGCTAGAAGCATTGATGCGTGTGTGAAGCATTGTGTTCCAGAGAAATAGCAGGTGAAGCGCGATGCTCACTTTGACTCACAGACTTTGCCAGCACAAAGCGCCTCAGCGCCTGTTGATCGCACGTCATGGCACACTATTTGCGGTTTGCGATGTATGGGTATTCCGATGATCGGACTGACATTGAAAGCTCTGAGGCTCGTCGAGCTGCTTAGGAGGCTTTCTGTCCAGAATCTTTCGGCAAGACAGGGACAGGTGTGAAGCTTTGGAAAGGGGACAAGAGAGGCGGGACTTGATGGTGCTTGTGCGTACTAGAAACAATGTGTTGGGAAGAATCGATGACTTGGCTCTTGGGAAGGGGTTCTTGATCGCGAAGAGCATGCGAGAGAGTGTAGCAAGACTCCTGCGTCCTTGACTGCAGCTCCCGATGCGATGGGCTGTCGATGTCCGGAGCGCGTCTCGAAAGTGTTGTGGGGACAAGGAGATAATCATGATACATGTTGGAGACATTGTCAAACCACTGTTGCTTGGCGGTTGCGGATCTTCACGCTGCGATGCTGACTGCTGTGGTGGAGACATAGATGACGCACTAGAGACGAGTGGCGATGGCGATGGCGATGGCGTTCACGAGCGCGACCACATTGGATGCACGCATAGGATAGCGTTTGGCTCAGGCGACTGATGACGAAAACATCTTTCTGCCTTTGCAACGGCCCTCCTTAGTGAGCCTGAGGACGCGGCACGCCGGTGTCAGCGCCAGCCGGGACGCCCTCTTCCGACGAAGTGCCATCTTGCCCTAACGTGTCAGCGGTCTCGACAGACTTGCTGCTGGGCTGAGCGCCAAAGCCATAAGGGTGCGCACCATAACGGCGACCATCGACTTCTTCGGCCATAGCGTGAGAGACCTGAGGAAGCATGGCGATAGCGGTAGCGTCTCCAGTGGGATCCTCGTAGCGTTCCTCAATGGTCATAACGTGGATTCCTCCTTCGACGTCGTCACGTGGGGCTTTGCGCAAGAAGTGTCCGTTGCCGTCACCGTTGCTGCCGTTCTTGCGGAAGAAGCTGCTCGTGCCGCGGCCATTCTCGGTGACCGTGTTGTTGGAGGCCGTAGGCACAAATCGACTGTGGCGAGTGTTGCGCACTCCAGAGACGGCGGCAGCTTCCTTGGTCGCACCACCGGTAGAGCTGGTGTTCATGGTGTAGCGTTGACGGTCTTGGAGCATAGCTCTAGCATTGAGAGTGGACATGAGCGAATTGACGTAAAGCTTGGCGAGAGGCAAGTTGAAGAGCAGATGCGCAGTCGTCGTGGAGCAAACGAAAAGGATCAAATCGATGGTCGCAACGCCAGCCGTGAGTAGACCAGTCTGAAGCGTGAGACGAATGAGCTTAGTGATGATGTCGTCGGTCTGTTGGAAACCAGTGCGGCTCTTGTTCAGGGTAGCAATCAGCGCAGACGTGATGATGATGTCACAAAGGGCAGCGCAAGCCAGCCAGAGAATGACGGCGACCTGAAACTTCTGAAACTCTGCAAACTTGCGTACGATCTCCACACCGATCGTCGTGCCGATGGAGGAGAGGAAGCTGATGATGGCGGTGACACCAACTACAGCAGAGATCCACCAATGAGACGTGAGCTTCCAAATGCGCCAAGCAAAGAAGCCCTGGGCCATCATGGCGATAGCAGAGGTGAGGACAGGATCGGCGCTGAAAGTGTGCGTCGCGACGGAAGCAACTTCAAGATCTCCAAAGTTGGAAACCAAGTAGAAGTATGTGAAGTGGCTGCACAATGCAGTGTGGAGAGTGTCGGCGATGAAGAGCACTGCGATAAAAATTCGCATGAGGCGCTTGTCGTTTGGAAAGTTGACGAAGCTGTTTGTAGCGGCGGGGCGAATGTCAGCACGGACAGCGTGTGCGGTGCGAGCGTTTGCATCACTACGCGACTGGGTTGATGCGCGTATGGATGCATCGCCGCCTCAGTACTCACTACAGGTAGGTCTGCACGACACTGAAGCCATAAAGCCAAATGTTGAGCATCGTACCCAGGAGGATGAAGCCCAGGCTGTAGTCGAGCGCGTGGTGCGCGTTGAGATCGAGCGTCATGATGTCCAATTGTCTCGTTTCTTATCGACGCAGGGAAGTCGTGGCTGTCCTGAATGATTCAGGTGGGCTGGTCAGGGTGCGACCGTCGAGGACTGCAAGTCTCAAGCAAGGGCGTGTGTAGCTTCTCCAGGATGGTCAAAAGAGTATGGAAGGCGAAAAGTGCGGATGAGTGGTGTTTGAATGTCGGAGGATCCCAAGCAAAGCCCAAAGGACAAGCAGGGCAGATGGAAGGAGGAGGTGGTGGTTAGGGTCAGAAGGGCGGAGGAGGGCGGGGGGAAAGAAAGCTGCCGATGGTGGAAGCGGAGACAGATTGGGTGGATGACTATGAACGGTATTTGTGGCAAAGCATCAGGAGCTTCTGGGGATTCTTGTGTGAGTGCCCGCGCGCAAGCGAGTCACGAGAGATTCGTGAGAGCACTTGCTGCTTCTGTATATCGATAGGTGGATGAGCCGGGGGAGCAGTGCTCAATCAATCTCTGCGCAAATTGAGGTGGGCAGGCAGCCAGAAGATCAGGAGCGGTGTGACACTTGCAGCTTCGCTTCAGCGGAAGGAGCCGTGCATGCCTAGCTGATAGCAAGAAAGTGATGGGAGCACAAATGCCGCGGCCACTGAGGCGCTAAAAGTGGCGTGCGAGGGAAATAAAAACGCGCGCTGTTGATGGCTCAACGGACGGGCAAGATTGCATGTCGAGTGTGCGTGGGGGAGAGCGGGAGAGAGAGAGAGAGAGAGAGAGAGAGGAATAGAGAGGATGGCGTGCATTGGTGTCAGCCACGACTTGTTGCTTCAAGTACCAATCAGCAGGCATCAGACGACACAGTCATGAAGTCCATCGCCTCCTTTCTCGCTCAAAGGAAGCAAATTGGGAAGCAGAGCAAGAGCAAGAATCGTTATGAGGGGGCCGAGCGCATGGAGTGTTAGGGCAGTTGGCACTGGTGCGATGCTATGCGAGGAGCGTGAGAGCAAGCTTGAACGCTTTTCGCAACGGTTGTGCTGCGCGTGTCATGCACAGGCGCAGGCTCCCTTCGGACACTAATGCGCGGCACAACCCCCTCGTACCGTAGACGCGCCTGCCGCTGCTGCTGCTGCTGCTGCTGCTGCTGCTGCTGCTTGCTGCTCCATAGCTTCGCGGCTGTGCATTTTCCTCTTGCATATGGGATCGAGGCCCCAGCTCACCTGAGGCCTCGACATATGCGAGAATTGCATCCACACCGCGTCTGGATCAAATCTGTAGGAGGGTGTTTCACACTTTGAACGACGGCATCACCCGGGGCTCGATCTTGATCGGTGTTTGGCAGGGCACGGGAGCGCGAAGCTATATGCCCATGACCCATAAGCTCAGCAGTGTGACCGTGTGAATCCTCCGTAACTCGATCTGACTCTTGACTCAAAACTCAGGATATACGTTTGGCTGTCTCCTCTGTCTCGGGCACACTGGCATAATAATGCACCCGATTACTCAGAAAATTGCCGCGGTATAGGTGTATACCCGCGTATGCCACTTGGAATCAAGAATGATCGAAGAGACGCAGCAATTGCGTCTCTTCGGAGCAAGCTAATCATTGCGTACCGCGAGGAGGAAATCGGAAACCAATCAAATCGAAAAACGAGCAAGCAGTATTCACAATTACTTTTCTAAGTCTTGATAATTGCTACCGATTGTGATGCTGTCTGCACGCTGCATGCTTCCATAGTAGCGTCACGTACGCATCCTGCTGTCAAGCTCGCTGTAGACGTGAAGCTACTGGGTGGGTTGACTCAGCCAGCGCTGTGGTCGTAGCTTATTGACATCTTCATCTATAGCTCTCAAGAATCTTTGCATCCGCGATTCTTGATTCGAATCGGGAATCTGGCACCCTTCTGATCCAAATTTCTCACCACATAGCCACGCTAGCGCGAGCCCTGCCCCTGCGTCGATTGTCGCGCACGTTACAGCAAGCTGCGCGGGGGATGAGGGGGAAGCCGCTAAAGCCTTAGAGCGCCGGCTTGGCACGCCCGCGGTTTTCGGGAAGCATTCATGATTGAGCGCCGTATCTCACCGCGCTGCGCGACTGCTATTCACGTGACTGCTGCAACTGTTACTATTACTACCAAACGGGTATCTATGGACGGTGTGTACATATATGTACCTATATATACATCATACAACAGTAGCGTGCTCACGCACCGATGTCAATCTGGGAGGAACTCGATGCACACAGCATCAGGTGTAAGAGAGAGTCCTGATTGATCGATCACAGAAGCATCTTGAGTCCGCGTGACCTTCCATCATGAATCCCAGATGTAAATTACCCCAACAAAACACCAATCGCCATGCATGCAATTGCAATCACAATGTGAATCTTGAATTAATGTGTCTCATCTCGGAGAGTCACGAGTGCTGGACGTGGTGGATGTCGCAGCCAATTCCTTGACTCAGCTTCTTGCGTCATAAACGTCTCTGTCACGTCTCTGCATGGTCATTCGCGTGACACCAATCACGAATTTGTGCGATTGGAGCTTTAATAAGTCTGAGTCATCAGAGTGATACGTGTTACATACGACGCAGAGCCACGCAGCAGCAGCACGAGGGCTGCTGCTTCACATGCACAAATTGTTGATTTTGCAACGCGCGGGAATGTTGAGTCTTCGAGTGAAGAGCTTTGGTCTCTACATGCAGGATAATCGCTATACGCTGGCACGCTCAAAGAGACCACTCGGGAGTGATGAATCATGTTTGAACAGCCGAGCACAGCTCTTGTGCTCGCGTTGCTATGGTTTCCTGCAGATTGCGCAGCTGCTCGCCTGACGAAGGGAGCAACAGTCAAGAGTGTCACCATATATGATCATTACCATCACCGGCATGTATACAGCAGCGCGAGTCAAAGCCCTCTTTCCGAAGGAGAAGACGAACAAACCCTCGGAATCTGAATTTAAGGTTCGGTGCTGCCCCCTCGAGCATGTACTGTACGTACAGGTTGAGCTGCGCCTCATCGAGTCGCGCTAGGCTCATGCATAACTGCTGGCTCCGCGCAGGCCCACAGCCGACATCTATAGAATTGCCAGCGCGCGCGCGCGCGCCTGCCGCCGTCGACGTTGCTGTGACAGCGCTTCGCGATGAGGCCGACCGAACGCATGCGGCAACCCACAGGTCGAGTGCAGGTGTGGCGCACAGGCTGCATCAGGCGCGCATTCACACCAAATCATGAAAAGACACGATCGAGGCTGCGCAGTCATCACTCGTTACAAAGTCGTGAGTCGTGGGTGAGTTTAGAGAATTCCAAGTGGATGAGGTAGTAGTAGTATAGTAGTGTGGGTAGCGGTGTATAGACGTTCCTTCCACAGGGCCACCACGGCGACATTGGGAAAGTGTGCTTAGAGTGATTCACAATGACGCTGGTTCACGTGATTGGGCAGCATCATACCAGCATGTCCGCGTCTTGCCCGTAAAGCTATTTGATGGTAGCAGCAACCCGAGCAATTGGGGGCTGCACGCAGCGTCT